ATACTCCCAGGATATCCAAGACAACATGTTACATTTTTATTGCACAGCAGGGGGCAGCATTGTTCAGGAGTCCAAATTTGCTTTCTACTTTCACTTCCACTTATCGTTAAGTTTCTTCTGTTGTTTCTCTCAGGCAAGTCCAAGCTCCCTGCTCGAGTACACCGTGTATCTACATGACCAGCATGACACCGTCACCCCTCCTGTCACCCCTCCTGTCACCCCTCCTGTCACCCCACCAACCCAGAGGCCTTGTCCGTTCACATCTCCACCTTCAGTGCCAAACGTGGCTGCTGCAGTCAACTCTGCAGAACCAGGTGTCTCTGGCCCCATGACGGACCCCTGCTGTTCCATGTGCAGTCCCGCTGCTTCAGGCTGGGAGCCTCTCAGATCCACATCCAGGTTTCCCAGCTGCTCTGATGGAGATCCTGTCAGTGCTGCTGCTCACCTCCACCTCCTGGGGGAGTCCTTGTCCCTGATTGGACACCATCTTCAGGAAACAGATGTAAGTGAAACATTTACTCTGAACCCAGGTTTTGATTTGTATTGAATACGGCTCAGTGGTGCTTTGTTTGATAGTGTCAGTGTGTTAAATACATAATGAATGGGCCGTACCTCATGGGACACCATACTGAATTTGTCAAATCATGATGACATTTTAAGTTGGTCATGAACCCACAGCAAGACTGATAAATGATTTTAATCTCTCTCTGTTAATCTGATAAACCCACAGATGAGGGCGGTTATGAGCAAACTAGAAAGACCAGTGATTTTGGGTAACAAATATACAGTAGGAGATAGATAGGGCTGAAAAAAGTCTAATATTTTAGAGGAAGACCGCTGTACCCCCTCAACCACAGGCCAAATTCTTTTTCTTCGTTTTCTTCTTTCTGTCCAAATTATAACTTTTACAAGACGATGCATTTGTCATTTGGCTTCTGGAGAATGTGCTGCACATTCACTGACTGGAGGAGCCTCTTTCGTCTTTATGTGTCTCTGCAGAAAATGTTGAACGTGTCCATCAGCTTGTCTCTGCTCCTCGACTCTCTCCTGTGTGCCTTGGCCCCAATAATCTGCCTGACCACACAGATACCGGAGCTCAGGAGCTGCACACAACACACAGTGGTGAGAGACGGACACCGCACACTGTCCACATGTGACACTATTTATCTGTCAGTATTTTATGACATAAGGAGGAAACATCATGTCTCTTTTGAAGGCCTCCACTCTGGAAAACATTGCCTATATGATGCCTGGGCTGTGAGTGATGATGGAGACCACACTGGCACATGTGCTCTGATAGGTTGAAAGGCACTTCAGTTTATTTTACTTTGGAAAAAGTAAGAATCAAATCTATTTCATTATAAACTAATATTGGTTTGCACTTTATTTTTCTGTTAATATACTTGAAAGCATTAGTTTATGTATTGGTTGTATAATTAAAAGGCATATTTGAACACTTGATTACTTTTCTTCATGTGAATATGGACACACTGTTTCTAAAGCTTGGTTCACAGTGAAGATCAAGCGTCATTTTTAGTTTTGTTGCCTTCGGTTTATACAAATGTATTTTTATGAATATATTGTTGATACAATTTCCACAGTATAATTACGTACAATTCAAATAAAGTCTACAGAAGCTAAAAGTTTGCATTAGCACAGGTATGAAATGCTACTATATCTTCTCAGAGTCCTGGCTGATGATAATGATCATTTGATTGCACAATAACAAGAAATAGTCGAGATACACAAGCAGGTTGATGGATTCACTTCTTATTTAAATGTGTGATAGTCGCATTAACAGAACCAAAGTCAAATGTTTATGTCACTACCCTTTGTGCATTTAAATAATCATGTATACCAGTGAATCATTTTCTGTAAAGAATCCGAAAGATCACACAAACTGACCAAACATCTGTCATCAGCTGTGATATGTGCTGAGAGATACAGGTCACTTTCATGGGAGTTTTATATACAACCTGTGCCTTTTACTGTAAATCATCACCTCTGCCAAGGTGGGTATGTTTTCATCTGTGTTTGTTAATAAGCAGGTTTAGGCAAAAACAACTGGACAGATTACCATGAAACTTTCAATTTTAGTACAGATCTGGATCAGGGGGCAATTCCATGATTTTTTCCTTTTCTCATTCTTTAACGTAGTGAGATAGGGCGTTTTGATCTGGTGAATTCAAACATGGTTTCATAAGAGGACTGTTGGGCCTTGGCAGAGCTATGAGTGATGTTCTGCTTAATTATGAATCATCAATAAATTCAACTCCTGTGATTTCAAAAAAGTTGGATAATTCCAACCCGAGACTGAAGGACTCAGTGTGAGGCTCTGACGGTTTTATACATAGTTTAGAATGACACTGCAAAGAAGTATTTCATGGGTTCTCATCAAACACTGACTCACAACACAAGCAGGGAGAAACTTGTTCTGTATTTACACTGTAAACTTGTCACGTCTGTGTGGGACCTGCCCTCCAACCTGCTCTGAGGTGATGCCTGCAACAGACAGTTGGAAAGTTAATAAATACTGTTAGTCAGGTACTGAACTCGAGAACATTTTTGAGGGATGTTTGCTTGTACATAATAATGATGATAATAATCATCATCATCAGAGGAGAAGAAGAAGAAGTGAAATAAAAGAAAAAGAAACAAAGTAGAACAACATAAAATAATAAAAATTAAAAAATGTATTTATTAAATCTGGGTGTTATTTTGATTTTATGCTGCTAAATACTTTTTAATATAAAACTTTATTTTACAGGATTAGTTACCACTTCTCTGATGACAACTTCAAGCAACATCATAATATTTACAGGCATATTTGACCAGTGATTCACTGAAACGACTGTAGACCAGGAAGGACGGCTCATCTTGACAGACTTGCATGAGCTCTGACACTTCACAGGTGTGGCAGATCAAAACGCACATACAAAGATTTACATCCGCCATGGGATACACCTCCTCCGCCCCATCCTGGAATGCTTAGCAGCCAGAAAACAAAAGAAACTTGTTGCACATGAAAAAAAAAAAGAGAGAGACTTATGAGTGTGTTCATGTGTGCATGTGTTCGGAAAGGGGAGTGGTTGTGCGTCTGGTAGTTTTCCTGAGATAGTGAACCTCACCTGCACTGGCAGGTTTTTGGGCAGTCGACATGTACTGAGGTTGTGTGGATGAGCGACGTAATTCAGTAACAGCTGAAGAGACGGTGAGAGAAGACGATACAAGAACGCAGCAACAGGGACATCACACAGCTGAGTGAGTATATGTTTCCTATGGTTTTAATAATGAATGCATAGATACCAGTGAGTGAGTTGTCAGTATCATTTACAAAACTACAGCACTAATACAGGTTACTTTCACTATTGGTTTAATGCTAAGTTAGATGTTTAACTCTTTGCATACATACACTACATTACATGCTTTTATCCAAAGTGATACGGTCTTTGTTAAATACGTTACTGTCTTGTATCAAAGTGAACTTACAGTGGATCTTATTTCTGCGTGCGTTTGTATGCGGATGTGGTTTGTACATGTCTGCATGTAATTGGGATTATTAAAGTCCTGGTAGAATGTAGTCGGACAGGACGGGCAGGGTGTGGCTGGGATGCAGCAAGCAGTGAAATGAAAGATTACCTGAGAGAGAGCACAGCCATTGGTGAATGTGAGGAAGGGAATGCAAGAAGTGGACAGATCTTTAACTGTGGGACATTTAGAAATCAGGTCAGAGAAGGAAAAACATTCTGAGACTAAACAGGCATCAGTCTTCACAATGTTCATGTGTTTATTTTAAGATCACTCTTACATAATTGCGACTTTCACATTGCCTGAAGCCACATTAAGTGAGTTTTACAGCATCCTAAGGCCCTCAAATATATGTTCTTGCAGTATAATAATAATAATCATCATCATAATCATCATTAAAAGAACAATAGGTCTCTTGCACCTTCAGTGTTTTGGCCCTATAGACTATAGTGCAAGAAGTACAGTTTGAGGTACTGCTATTAGTGCCTCTATAGATAAAAAATAGTTAAATGAGCAAACAAATCAAATAAAAGTATGCATACTGTCTCAGGTACTTCTACCAGTATAGATCAAGTAATTAAAATAAAATAATCAAACAACTCAGATAAGAACTTAAGATGCCATCCTAATCTCCCTGGGCAGGTCGTTTCAGAGGTCCTGAAAGCAAAGGCTCTGTCTTCTTTAGTTATTCGCCTGGTGTCTGGAAAGGTCTAAAACGTCTTAGATATAATCAGGAGCCAGTGTAACGTGGCTAAAACAAGAGTAATACAATGAACATCTTCATTCCAAGTTTTGAACACTGTAAAGTCGTATCATGAGCTTCATCACTGTTACCAGAGAGGTATGAGCATGGATCCTTATCCACATTTCATCTGTTCCTTCTTTCCAGCTATGAGTGATAACCTCAGAAGTAGCCACTCTGGGTCCTCAACCCCGGAGCTGAGGCTCGTTCTTCTGGGAAACCTTGGATGTGGAAAGACATCTTCATCCGACACCATCCTGGGCCAACTGTCGCCCATCTCTCCCTCTGCCGCCAGGAGCTGCCAGCTGCGACAGGGCTTCACCGAGGGCAGGAGCGTGACCCTGGTGGAGGCGCCGAGATGGTACTGGAACGGTGGCAAGATGGAGGACAGCGTCAGGGAGGAGACCAAGAGAGTTTTGACTCTGGCAGCTCCGGGTCCGCACGCCATTTTGCTGCTGGTGCCAGTGGGCCAGTTCACAGAGGTTAGATTACTGCTCCAGTTGTCCTTGAGGTTGTTGGAAAATAACTTTTGGAATCATCATTTGAAATGTCAGATTCAGTCAAAGTACAATGAACAAAATGAAGCCAGTGTGCAATATAAATCTTTTTATTTCAGTGGATTTAGCAAAATGTTTTCTCTGGTGTTCCCAGATGGAGAGTCGAGTACCTGCAGAGTTGGAGCAGCTGTTTGGGGAGGAGTCACTGGATCACACCCTGCTCCTGCTCACGTGTGGGGACTATTTGATGGGAAGAACAGTGGAGGTATAGACATGTACACCTGTCCCCTTTAAGTCATCTTGATTTGACTATATTTAACTTTGATACTGTGTAAAATCTCTACATAAATTAAACTTTGGCTAAATCTTGTTGCTACATCGGTGTATCATAAAAACAATGCACTGTTAGCAGCGATCTTGTCAGTGTGTCATCTGCACTGATTTGAACCAGACATCCTTGCACTTTTTTCCTCACCATTTGTTGTATCGATTTGGACGGTTTAGCTGCAGGAGAAAGACGACACCATTGTCTCAGGTTTAAATTCACACAGAGCAAATTGTTTTCAACAGGAATACCTACAGAAAGAACTCCCAGGCCTGCGGCAGATAATTGAGCGCTGCGGGGGGCGGTTCCATGTCATCAATAATCGTCAGCGACAGGACAGGGAGCAGGTCCGCCAGCTGCTGGAGAAGGTGAGACGGAGCAACAAACAGAGAAGTGTAGTTCAGAATGAAATCATTTTTGAATTTTAGCTTTTATTATGTGCAGACTTAAAAACACTTGGAATGCAATCCAGGGGATTTGTCAGACTTCAGTTTTATTGGAAACTGCATGAGTTCCTTGGTACCTCTGCCAAAGAGGTTATGTTTTCACCCCTGTGGCTATTGTGAGCAAGATTACACAAAATCTAGAGGATGTATTTCCACAAACCTTGGTGGAAGGATGTGGTATAGTTCAGGGAAGAACTATTTACATTTTGCTGAGTTTTCTTACACTTCTCTAACATTGGGAGAAGTTAAAGATATTCTCGACAAAAGAATAAGGTCCATGTAGGGGACTGATATTCATGAGTGTGTGCGATTAGGTGCAAATAAAAATCTGGATCTAATGAATTTAAATGTGGTTTCATAAGTGGCCATGGCGGAGGAACGAACTCAACTGAGTTAGTTTTAGTGATTCGGTCTGAGCACGCTCAGTTTCTTTTCCCAGCAACGCCCTGTTTTCCTCTCAATCACACCCAGCTGTGGTCAGGACCGGTTTGGTGATTAATGATCACGTTATTAACACTAACCCTCACTGACCTGGAAATTCGTCCCACCATGCAACTAATTATAAAATGTGACATAAGTATATGTGTGTAAATCTGAGTTATTGTTTGTTATTTATATAACAGGTGGAGAATATGGTGCAGGCAAAGGGGGTGTACCACAGGAAAACGGTGCAGGAACAAGATCTGGAGAGACGAGTGAACGAGAGACGACAGGAACTTATGGAGAGTTACAGAGCTCAAAAGGAAGGGAGAACAGAAAGTAGAGGAGTGGAGGGCGGTACCACCTTGGAGACGTGGAAGAGACAAGAGAGGGAAAAGACAGAGGGAAGAGCAGGTGGAAGTCAAATTTCCAATGGTCTTCATTCAACTCCAGCGCCTGAGCGAGAGTCATATTCATCATATTCACAGATGCAGGATGACAGGCAGGCAAAGAGGACGCCCAGCTTCAGACTGAACCAAGGTAAACACCCATAGAGCCCAGTTTGCATCCACTTATGTTCTATATCACAATTTCTGAAATCGTTTCGGACTTTAGTATTTATTGTTTTGCCTTTGTAGATGGAGCTATACTCTCTCAAATGTCTGAGGTTGACACACCTCCAAAAAAGATTACAACGTGTAAGTCACAGGACTTTGTTGGCTTTTATTATCTCACTTAACAGTTCACTTATATAATGATTCATGTTTGATTATAACTGACATTTAAAACTCTGGATTTTACTTTCAGTTCATCACAGAATCAACAGCTTTGAAGAGAGATCCCCTGAGGCGTCTCCCACTTCTTCTCCCTACTCACCTGTCTTCTCCTCCTCCCCTTCCTCGCCAACATTTACTGCCTCCTCTTACTCAGTCCCCTCTTCTTACTCAACCTCCTCATCAACTTTTGCTTCGGCCTCAGCCTCTCCCACTTCATCTTCTTCATTCCCCTCTTCCTCCTCATCCTCCACAGTCCCCTCATCCTCCACATCTTCCACAATCCCCTCATCTTACTCAACCTCCTCATC